AAGTGAGCGAGCGGCTGCGTGGGGTTTATTTGCTGGCTGGGGGTAAACCACGACACTGTAGCATCAGTAAAAAGACAAAACCACACCATAGTCCATCAAAACGGCAGACACTTTCCTAAGCCTCTGACTGAAAACTGCCTCATCTTCACCTGAAACTTAAAGCCAAAGATATGCTTAGCAGCCTGTTCACTCACAGAGAGACCAAAGAAATCATGTAGAAAGACTTCAGGCTTGTATAAATGAAATACACATGGAGTCTTTTTCTGTACCCCAGACTTTCACAGCTGTGGAGCTAAAGGTCAGTGTTAAATCCTACCTATTGTTCTCAGTTTGTTTCAGTCCTACATATAGTCCTGGCAGAAGGTTCCATGAGGTAATGATGGGAAGATCTTAACTGGGCTGGTGTTCTCTTTGGTAATGGAAGAGAAAAAAAAAAACTTAACACACATAATAAATGAAGCCCAAAAGGACAGATGAAAGATAAATCTTTTTGCAATAGCTGTGTCTTTTCAGTTTTCCAGATTTCTTTTAAAAAGGCATTTCAGAAAGAATCAGGTTAGACATGAGGAGAAATATTTTAATTGTAAAGGGTAGTTAAATTCCAGAGCAGGTGATAGTTCTTCCCTACCTGAGGTCTCTAAGAAAAAGACTGGTTCAGGTCAAGTTAACCCTTGAGGTGGAAGGGTGGGCAAGTTGCCCTCTCAGTGTCTTCTTTAACCATATGCTTTCAAGTCTGGCTGGGCTGATAATTTTTGTTCTTTTTTTTATTGTGTTGTGGGTAGGAATGTGCATGAAATTTAATAGACAGGGCTGTGTAAGAGACAAGGTCTGCCTTAATTTGTATTTGAAGCAAGATAAGGAACAGGCATTGAAATCTCTCAGTAGCTTTTGACAGTTCAGCTGGTATATAAAATAGTAATTGCAGAGATGGTTGTATCTGCCACATCTGTTCAGACATAGATTCAATACCACCTGCAGCTACACAAAACCACTGAGGAGAAAAATGCCCTGAAGAGAAATGTGACCAGTATCATTCATATGCCAACCTTTTCCCAGAAACGAAAACTCAGTGTTAGCTGGTATGCAGTATTATGTCTTGGGATGCAGACTGAAGACCAATTTCAGACTCTCAGAAAACCTTGGGAGGAAGAGGTGTTTCCTGAGTGAAAGAAGAGCAATGCTACCAGTTGTCCAGTGAAAACCACTAGCCATGAACAATTCCTAGCACCATGGGTGGTGCACAGCTGTGTTGTGAGGAGCCTGCATGCATACCTCCAAATGTCAATCACCCAGATGCAGTCACAGTGGAGGAGACTTGGTTGGCAGCTGCTACCAACCACAAAGTGCTAGCCAGACAGGTCCATCTAGGACATGCTGTTCCATTACAAAATTTTGTACTTGGCATTTGTGCCAGTAAACTGGAACAATAGAATCTGGTTTTCCTTAATGCCCTTTTACAGTGAAAAATCTCTTTCCAGGCCATGTATTGTCCCATTCTGCAGCTGCCCCATAAGACTGACCATATCTTGTAAGAGCTAAGGTCTGTCTAGCACTGTGCAATTCTCTGAGGGCAATCAGGAGAGGCTTCCTAAGGAAGCGTGTCAGCACAGGCTGACAAGTACAGTGCTAATTCCTTCATATAATCTTTGAGCTTCCCTCTGTCCTAGCACACAGTAGCGCTTGAATGGTTGTTTTTGTTCCATGGTTTCCTGTGGCCTGGATGTTTGTTCAACAAGTTCATGAGCTAGAGGATCAACCCGCCATGAGCTGATGCTTGTTTTGAGATGCACGATTTGAAAGCATGCAGGGGAACTGTGTGTTACTATGATTTGTGTTGTCTCCACTACGGCTCTTCTCCTCTGGCTGGCAAAGGAAGATAAAGTCTGTAGATAAATTACACTGGGAATTACCTAGAGATATCTACCTGTGACTTGAGAGGGACAGAGAGTATCAACCAGCCATACAGACAGTCCACAGCCTAGCAGTGTATGCCATTCCCTCTGCAGTGGTTGCTGGTCCTATGTTGGATCTTCCTGGTGGTATTCAGCCCTATAACTTCAAGTTGATCGAATGCTTCCTTTGCCTCAGGTGTGAACGGAGACATCATTTGTCTTGAACTTCTCTCCCATGAAATCTGGTGTGACTGGCATCCACTAGGTATAAAAATCATAAGACAAATATCCTTAATGAACATTTTGACTTGGAAGAATTGATGTAGAGAACTAAGTGTTTTTTAAGTTACTGGTTTCAACATTGCAGGCTGTCATGCTGTATCTTAATGATGATGGAGAAAGGATCAAAAATATTGCCCTTGCTCAGAAATGTTTAGGAGTTTCTTGTCAAACCCAAGAGCCCTTTGAAATCAGAAAGTCATGACAGCAACAATGCATTTTTTGCTTTACTGATAAACAACTTGGTCCATTCTTAATGGAAAAAATGAAAGGAGAAAATTATGAAAAGAGCATTTACTTCATGTATATTCAGCAGTCCCATACTATTGATACTAGAAAATACTGAGTACTTTGTACCAACATAATTCTTTGATGTTTTTGAAATCATATTTAATTTTCCTTTCAAAGTTCTTTTCAAGCTTATCCATGCAAAATGTTTTGCTGGCCTTTGCATGGGTTTAGGTTAGTTACTTTATGGTTCTGATGAATTGAGAGCAATCTTAATTCCATTTGGTACTTTAATTAAAATTTAGGCATAAATAAAGAAATGGCTTTTACAGAGCAATAATTTTGAAGCTGATAGCTGCTACAACAAACATGAATGCCTTTCCTCTTCCTCACAAAGGGCAAATGCCTCCCTAATGTAGCTGAAGTGAAATGATTGTAAGTAATAAAGAGGGTAGCTTGCAGGTATCCTTGTTGTTGTAGATTTGCATGTGACAGTTTGAGTTGATTTTTTTAATCATGTATCGCTATAATCTCCAAAATTTCTGTGCAAACACTTATGGAAATAACAGCAAAACCTGAGAATTACTGAAATGTGTGAAGGTTGAGGAGTGATGAGGGTTGGGTGGTGCAGAAGTTGTTTTCCTTGGGCATGCCTTCAAACTAGCAGTTGGAAAGTCCTAGTCACTGTGAGAGCTGAGATACTACAGCACTTCTCTCCCTAGTCTGATTCACTCCGGCATATCTTTACTCCTCTATTAAATCTAGCATTTTGAATATAAAACCATAAAATGAGATCCTGGTTACTCATGTAAAGTCTTCGTGGCATGCCTTTAATTCTCAATGGGAGTAGCAAATTTCAGGTATCCATTCTACCTGCAGGCTTAAGGATGTTTCTTTTCAGATAGTGTGAGTCAGCTTTACCCCAGGAAGTGCGGAGTTCTGCGTGCAAATACAGACAGATTTTTTCAGAAGGTTCATTTGCACTAAGAGGTCTTCCTGTCCCTCTTATACCAAAAGAACAGGGATGAGGTCATGTAGGATATCTCCCGCATGAGAATATCTAAAACTGCATCATTTTCGCTGCAGTCTGCCAGTCTATCCTGTCCTGTTTGCTTTCTTTTGTTGATAATTATTTTTTTCCTGAAGTTTTGCCACATCCGTAAACCTTTACTATAAAATGCTGCAGATGGAGTTTCAAAATCATTGCAGATGATGGACTTGAGCATCAGACTTGTTAGCAGAAAAGAGGAAATTCAACACCAGTAGAATACCGCCCCAAAACTTTACTAACACAGAGCTTATATTGTTTTTGCTAGGCCCATGGCTGTATAGTCCCAAATTCTCTCCTGTGCTTGTTTCTGAGTGATCTGAGCATCTGACCATCTTCTCTTGTGAGAGCTGTCCATCCACTGGGCTGTACTTAGGGGGGAGTTGTTAGGATTGATAATTTGGGTGTCTGTGTGAAAGAGCAAAAGCAGAATATTAACAGTGATGTTCGTATTGCAGAACATGAGGCACCATGTGTGATGGCTGGCTTCATCAGTCATCCTGTTCAGTGGGTGACTAACAATATATTATCTCTCCCCTGCAGTATGGGATAAAGAAGAAGGAAGAAAAGGAAGCAGAGGCTCAGGCCGCACTGGAAGCTAACGCTGAAGGGAGTCTAACACGCCCAAAGAAGGCAATCCCTCCTGGCTGTGGGGATGAAGAGGAGGAAGAAGAAGAGAGCATTCTAGACACAGTCATCAAATACCTACCAGGGCCCCTGCAGGACATGTTCAAGAAGTAATAGCTGCAGACTGTTAGATGGGCATAAACAGTACTGCAAAGGATTTTTCTTTTGCCCAATGGGGATTTACAATCTTGCCATCCATCATGCAGCCCTCCCCACGTCTGCCCTCTACTGCTCACTAGGAGTCCCTTTGCTTCCCATTCCCTTCTGACTGCCTCTTTCAAAGACTCATCCATTCCTTTTTTGTACATAGTCATATCCAGTAGATGCCTCTGAATGGATGTAAAGATTAAAAAGCTGCAGAATACACAACTTCTATTATAAGCCATAGTACTATATATGTTAAATAAGGCAACTGTACACTAAGCATAGAAAAGGAACAACCTCACATGCATTTCCATCCAAAGCAGGAAGGAGTGTTCACTAAGTGTGAACAGTGGCCTCTTTAATTGTTTTTAATTCTCTTTTTATTATTACTGGTAATAATTATTAGTCATTATTATTAATGTTCTTATTGATTGGCTCACACTAGCCATTTGTGGTTGAGCACATCTGCTCTTGGAAGGGATATCTCAGTTCTCCCATGGAAGCAGAAGTTTTCTGTTTTAATTCCATCACTGGCATAAATAAGAGATCATTTGGAAGATAAACCATGCGTGACTTACACAGCTGACATCACTCAGAACTGTGAAAGAATTGAGTCATCTGCCCTCAGATGCTGGTAGAAGTTAAATGCCTCAGAATCTAAGCAAGAGTCATGTTACTTTGGGAATTAGCCATACACTTAACTTGAAAGAGCAGGTTTGGTCAGTTGCCATACAGAGAGCTGAAACCACAGGAGAGTGCATAGTGCTCTGGTAGAGGACCTCCCCAGCCCCTTTGAAACCAATGACCAAGTACATAGGCCGCTCTGATTAACTAACCTTCCTCTTTCTGCCCAGTGCCATATTCAACTGTCCCATTCACAGGAGTGCTTGCAGGATGGACATTTGGTTTCCAGTATATTGTTGTGGCTGTGTCCTGCCCACCCCTTCCTGCAGTGTGTGGGAGAGTGTGGTGGCCTGAATGTTAGCCATGGCTTTGGAGATCCAGAAATCCTGAGTATGCCTGCTATGTATCATGCTAAATTACTGCGTTGCCTTGGGGAGGTCAGTTATTTTCCTGCTCCACCCAGTTTCTCCAGCTGTAAAATGTAGGTTTCAGTCTCTACCTACTATAAAAGCATAAAGTGAGGAGGCTTCTCCAGTGCTGTGCAGGAGCTAATTAATATTATAAGTGTGTGGCATCCCTTGATGCTAGCAGGGTGGGAGGAAATTGCTCTCACCATTACCTTTGTTGCCTTTCCCAGACACAGATACAGAGGGCTTCTCAATACAGCACTTGTGGGTATTGAGTAACTGTGTAAGAAAATCCAAATTCTACTGGAGATATTGACTTGCTAGTACACAGACTCACATACATAGACATATTTTGAACACAGACCCTCATGGTCAGGTATCTGGCTTGTCACCTGAAGAGCTGATCCTGGAGTTCTTGCATTTGGCTAGGTCTCTGTAGTCACTGCTGTGAGACCATCATGCCACCTCAAGTCTCACAATCTTCTAAGAGAATCAGGGTTTGCCTGGCAGAATAGCACTGCTTGTCCCTGTCATGGGAACAACAAAAGTTTCCTAAGTACATGGAAGAGATTTGGAAGCAAATATGTGCTTTCTACTCACAACAAAAAGGAAAACAATCTGAGACATTTCATTATGTACCTAAATTAAGCATTTTACTTCAATGGAACTTCTTTGATGCACTTGTTCAGTGGAACTGAGTTTAGGCAAATATCTCAGTACTTTCTTGAATAAGAAATTTTAAAAGATATTTATCATCTTTTCAGGTAAGCAGAAGAAATCTGCACCATGGTTAAGGCAGTGAACTTGTGAACTCTGTGCCTGTTAGCAGCATCTCTCATAATAGGGAAAAAATATTATGAAAGAGAAGAAATTTTTTTTTTTTGCCCTCATCACCCAATTCTTATTTGGGTATGCTAGTCCTTGCTTTTTCACAAATAACTTCAACCATAAGTTTCTATCAAATCCAAGGTGGAGACTGAGGAAGTTTGACTGACCTATAAGTCAGAACCAGTTGATAAAGACACAATTTATTTCAGGTTCAATCTACAAACAAGACATGTTCATTCAAGTACAAGCTGCCCAGGTCTTCCCAGAGGAAAGAAAAGGCAGGTTTTACTCTTTCGGATAATGTCAGTGTTTTTTTGCCCTAACTTTCATTTAAAGCAAGAAGAGCATCTCCCCCCCTAAGACTTTAATGACCCAGAGCACTCTTTATCCCTGAATCAACGCTTGGGTATAGCATAGCAGTGTTGAGCAATTTATCATTTTCTAGGGAGAGTGTCCTATTCACCCCATGCAAATTCAGCAACTAGTAATTTGAGTTTATTTAAGTAAACCTCAAAGAACTGAAAACTCTCGTTCTGTCACAAAGGCAGCAGCTGTTTTTGATGCTCTGCTATAGCGGGATCTAAATCCAACACCCCTGAAAGCTAAAAGGGAAAGGCTGGATCTTTGCTACAGCTACTCATTGGCAGTGAAATCTTCTAGCCCAGATCACACTGACACACTGACATCGATACTTTTGAAATGCTCTGACTAATCTCTGTGGCCTGCGCCCTCTAATACATAAGTAGAACCAGCAGAAATGTGCCCCTGCTAAAAGGAACACATCCATTCATATTTTCCCCTGGTGTTCTGCTGGAGAACTCTGCAAACAAACAAACAAATAAAGAGGATGAGGTCATTCCACTTTGCTTTGGCCTTTCTCTACCACTTGCTGTTGAGCTTTCCCTTGTCCCCATCATGGACTCACTTCCCATCCAGCCAAATACTGTTCCTGACATAGAATCAGAATTTTCTGCCTCATGTCCTCCTTGCAGAATGGTACTGCCAATTGTTTGTTTTCATAGTCTCCCTGGCAGCTTGATGTGCATGTGTGTGCACATACGTGTGGAAGATGAGGAAAAGGGAGAAGAAAGGGAGAAGAGAGAGAAGGGAAGAGTGTTTGGTATTATTTTTTCTAACTGTGCCTCAGCATCTGTGCCATTGAATGACTGGTCTAAGTCAGGATCTTGTGTGGTCTGTGCTCAAATTTCATAAGCAGGTAGTGCTACCCCTGGGCTCAAAACATTAAAAATACTCCTTTTGTGAGCTGAGCTCCTGATGTGTGTGAACATCTGGATCCAAACCCTAAAGAGGGCCATAACAAGTCTGTACTGAGTTTGTTAGGCCTCATACCAGGCTTACAGAGCAGGAGGGAAAGGGAAGGTCATTTATTAAATTATGTTTGCCAAGTCTTTTTTATTGTGGAGCTTCCCAGCCCAGCCATGTCATCACTTACATCAGCTTTCCACACCTGCAGCAGCCCTTCTTCCCTGGACAGCAGAGAGTTCAGCCAGGTGTGAGCTGGTAGTTCCCATTTTAATTTTCCTTCTCTTTCAAAAAAGAAACATGACAGAAGATCTACCACAGGTACTGGACAGGTTTTGCCTGGGTTTGCCTCACATAACTTTTGGCACCTTGCATGAGTTCTGGATCTCTCCTCACGTCATTCCACTACCCCCAAAGTGCCTAAGCTATGCTGGACAGATTCGAGAGCAGGCACTCTCCCCTCCCTTCTGCCCATCCATTTCTCTTCCTATTCTGAACTGGCAACATGGGACACAGACACCTTTGGCTCATGTATGGATGTGAGAAGCATTGTCTCAGACACTTTCCCCTCAGCACTCAAGCAGGTGTTGGAGCACTTAAACAAGACCAAAGAGAAGCATGGTTCATTGTTTGGATTCTGAATATCTCTTTGTCTTTCCATGCCATTGTTTTATTTGCTTCACTGGTCTGTTAAATCTCAGGTAAATGAGGTCTTTTGTTTTTATTTACACAGAAAGGTTGGTGGCTAGACACTGCAGCCATTTTCCTTCACAGCTCCAAGACCTTATTGGTTAGTAAAAAAAAAGTCAAAGGGCCTCCACATTTGGAGGGTAAATGATTTAGTTTGCCATCAACCTTGTGAATTCACATTTATCTTTAGACAAAGCCATAAGAAATCAGACTGCAATATTAATTATCAATTCTACTCTTGTGTTTAAAATAAATAAAACAAAATATAAGATCATGTGCTAAATCACTTTGGAGTTCCTCTGTCTATGTTTCTAGTACCATACGTTGGCTTAGGTCCCTCCCAGCCCCTCTCCTTCGTCAAGAAAGACCATACCAATGCTGCTGAATACATCTTTTTGGCAAGCTTACTGTGCTAGAAATTAGCTGTTGTGACCTCCACGTAATGTCTTATATATCTGAAAGTTGTCTGTATCTGTTCTGAATATATGTTATAAAAATAACTGTTTCTTCATGCGCTGAGTTAGTAAAATGTTTCAGTACTGTCATTAAAAAATTGCTTGTTTTCTCTCTTTCTCTCTCTCACACACACAGAGCAAAATTCAACTTAGCCATGCATTTGTAGTAGAAATGCTCCCCAGCTTTCTTTCAGATGCATGCAGTACTCTCCAAACAGCTAGAAAATGATTTAAAGTAGAGACTTTGTGAATGTGAATTTCATTTGTTATTTGCCTGCTACTTTTTCCTGCATGATGTGGGTAAATGGTATGATGTTCTTTTAAAATGGAATCACAGCCAATAAAAAACCCAGTGATTTCATACATTTTTTGCAATGCTTTCCTGTGAAATTCCTACCAGATTACACTTGGAAATCAAAGTATGGACGCTGATACACAAATAGAACGGTAACAGAATTGAGGAGAAACATGGATATTATTTGAATGATATGTTAATTTTTTCATTTGTCAAAAAGGTACAGAAGGATAATTCCAGTGGGTAAGCTGGTGCAGTCTACATTTTCCCACTTTAAAAGTACACTTTGTCAGGTAAAGCATTCTCCAGAGGAGAAAAAGACAAAAAGAAATCAGCAGGCACATCATGAGTAGTTCTGGTGAAAAATCACTCCAGTTACGGAGGTGCATTAGTGACCTACTTCTCAGA